AAATGTATATTTAGTTTTCGTTGACGAGACGAGACGGGACTAAGGTGTTAATGGTAGACATTCAAAATGCAGGGTATTTTCCCCCAATTGTCCGTCTTGTCTGTCAAAATGCATCTTACGTTTCTAACTTGCAATATCATTATCTCCGCTCTCTTCACTCCAGAAGACCGATCTCCCTGTGTCTCTCTGTGTGCGGGGGGCGGGGCCTAACAGACACGCTGCAGCGGCACACAGAGATCTGCGGGGGACGGAGCATTCAGAAGGGAGTGGGACACATGCTGGAGTCCTTCAAGTTTGAATGACTTTGTATACTGCAGGGTAGCTTGTGAATTTACTCCAGGTGGAACTAAAGTCTGATTTAACACTTGATTAGATTTCACATCATGCATCCACATCTGTAAAGTAACTAAAAGGTATTAAATACATGTTGTGGAGTAGAAACACAGTAGCAACACATTTAAATACTCCAGTAAAGTACAAGTACCTCAACATTGTACTCAAGTACAGTACAATATTTTAACATAATTATATATATTTCATTTATTTCACATTTAAATAAAGCAATTAATTCGGTTAACAATTTGTTAGTTTTTCCCTTTAAAAAATAACAAAAAGTAAATACAAGAATACGTTAAAGTACCGGATCGATAAGCAGTATCGATGAGACTAGTAGTACCGTAGAAAACCTTAACGATACCCATCCCTAGATATTACACAAGTAAAGTGTTAAGAGAGTGAAATGTTGCTTTACGAATTTCAACACTTGATACTGTCACATTGATTCCAATTTCAGATAGGCCTACCTGTATTTGCCTGACTGAATTGGTTTAAAGAAGGAAACATTTTGACTAAAAGTTGACTAAAATGTAATTTTTTCATCCGACTAAAAGTAGACTAAAACGTTTTGAGTTTTCGTCGACTAAAACTAGACTAAAACTATGAAGGATAGGAATGACTCAAATGTGACTAAAACTAATAACCATTTTCGTCCAAAAACTAAGACTAAGACTAAATCAAAAACAGCTGCCAAAATTAACACTGATAGGGATTGATAAATAACTTAGTAACCCTATCCAGCTTGATGCAAATCAACCACTCTTGATAATAGGTCTTCTGCCTCTTTTACAAATATTTTTGAGTGATTATTATAAGTCAAAATAGCTTGTACAACGCTTCTAATCTTGTTTCACTGATTAAAACGAGGTTTGCTAACTCATACCACTTTTTTTTTTTAAGTCTAGGGGTTCACATACTTTTTCCAACTGAATGTCTTCAATATTGACAAGAACAAAATACACAGTGTTCTATTAGTAGAAACTGATTGTGTTTGTTCATTATTGTATATTAGGTGAAGATCAGACCATGCAGGTTATTCCATAGGGTTCACCTGCCTCTTCTTGCCACTGTGTGTGTGTGTTTATGCATGTCTTTTTTTTTAAAGAATAGTTTTTGGCCATTAGTGCCTTTGACTTAGACTCAGATTTGAAAGGGGGACACGGAGGAAGAACTTGTGCAAATGGTTCCCAAGCCGCATGCTCTACAAGGCGAGCTGTCCGGTGTATATTTTGTGCATTTCTCTTACGGTTATCCTTCTAGATTCTTTAATAAGAGGAAACAACTGAAGAATGGACACAGCAAGTAAAGAGTCTAAAAGTTGTCATTAGACTGCAAAAATGTATATAGAAACAAATATTAGCCTGACATCCAAAGGAATACATAAATCGGCTGCTCACCTGTTGATCCACCAAAAGGTAATTCTGGAGAGAAAAGGAGCTCCAGGCTCAGGGCAGGGGTTCTGAAGACAAAAACATTAAGTTAGACCCCAAATATTTGTATTCTGCTAAGATACTGATCCCAGAATGAGGAGTAAGCATCTAATGGAGCACAGTGATTATTCAATAGTTGTGCATCTATTTAAGATCCACTGACTAAGGATAGAAGCAAACGCAGTCCCCCACCTTAATTAGGAGACAAGTAGCAAAGACACTTTGTTAGCTGAAAAGAACAGAGGCATGATGGTTATTGAATTTGGCCCATTGATTTGTCCAATTCACCAACCAATCCAGAGATAAAAAGTGAGGCAGGAAGCAGAAACAGAGCAAGTGGACAGTGTGAAGGAAACTCACCGGGTCTTTGATGGCCTGGGAAAACAGGGGGTGTTTGTCCGTCAGGCAGGACAGGAACAGAGAGACCAGCAGCAGGAAGTAGTAGATATAGAAGGTGGTGTACCTCCACAGAGACACTGTCCACAGCTGGAAAGAAAGTTTGAACCCATTGAACTTGCTGTTGTAAGGTATTGCTTATTTTGTTTAACCATCTGAGGGAACTGTGTTCATGGTCCTGGGAATAACTACTAACCTGTACCCAGCCAAACATGTTGCATATCAATAGGTTTTTAAAGACTCCATTAATCCAAATGTAGGTATTCAAGACTGACCTGCTCCAGGGCCTGGAGGATCTTGGACCTGAAGGTGACCGTGGCACACAGCAGGGCCAGCAGCCAGTAGATCAGCAGAACACCACACGACTGAACCCCTTTCATCCGTTCATACTGGATCAACAGTGTGGCAAGCAACTACAGCAAAAACACATTTAAAAAAGGCATTTATACACCATACGTGAACAAACATACAAATATTACCTGAAAAAGTAATGACATTGCAACAAAAAAAAACTCTTCTTGTTCTGGTTACAGCTTTACCACTATCTTTACAAGCTAAAAACAAGTTTTTTTGTTTGTTAAAGGCCTGCAACCTTCTTTCGATTACATATCAGGCCTAGTGATGCTTTTGGGGAAATGCAGCACATGGCTAGAAAAAGGCTTAGCATAAAACATATATGTATGAATGGAGTGTAAGGCGTTTTGCACTTTTGTAAAGGTGCAAAGGTTATTGGGATCATAGAATCCCCAGTTTGAGTATCATTTTTCTTTTGAGCTACACACATGAGCCTTGCACTGAATTTGATGATGTATACTATGTGCAAATAAACTACGCTCAGAGAAAATATTCAGTTCTTAGTTCTCTTTTATCATTCTTGTAATCTTCACAATAATGCAAATAAAACTAAAAACACATTTAACTAGAACCAGATATTTTCAGAAAACAAAACTACAGCCACAAAAAACGAAGGATTAAAGACTCCAATCTCTTAAAAATACAACAAACCCTTTCTTAACCTTTCTATATAAATGACAAAGATAAACTCTCACCATGGTGAGGCCCAGTATCATTGGGCTGACCAGGTGCACAGGGGCGGGGATGCTGCTGCCATGACCTCTTTCCCAGAAAGAATAGAACACGTCCGACCAGCAGATCACCCACAGCAGAACGCCAACAGCCTGCAGGGCAGAAGAACAAACCGCAGTTTCTGACTAGTTTTATTTATTTATTTTAACTAACATAAAACAATTGCTGTTTTATTAAAAAAAATTGCACATGGTTGTCATTGTATGTGATAAAATTTTCCAGGACAATCTTGAAATAATAAGTGCACGATAACAGGTGGCATAGTGTGTGTTGGTTAAAACACACTTCAACAACAACAACAACAACAACATACACCACAGGAACACCAAAATGGATCATTCAGGATAAGGTGTACAGCTGGCATCAGTAACTGGTCACTGTTTTAAAAAAGGAGCACAATGCAACAATGCAGGAGCACAATGCAGGAGCACTCTAAAAGGCCATGTTCATATGTCCATATTCAGCGGAATGTGCACTACAAAAAAATCAAAAGGCTCTACTAAGCTTGGCCCAAGGTACCGCAGCATCAGGACGAAGGCCAGCAGACTCAGTTTCATCCCGCAGACCATAAGACTGTTGAACTCATGAGCTTTTTAAAAAGCTTCACTTACAGTATGTTAGGTTAAATACAGTTATAACAACAAGTAGTGTTTTTTCAACTGTACAGTATTGTATTTGACATGACTCTGAATACAGATGCAGACAGACCATGGGTCACAGGAGGGAGGGGATGTTGATCAGGATTGGTTTAGGATGGGCGTAATCACACGTATCAACCAATGAGAGCATTTGGGGCGGGCTTAAGACTGCTGCAGCGCTCACATGAACGGAAACAGAAAGCAGTACAGAACTCTGACAGAGGCTGCATCTCGCTTCTCTTAAATGCAATCCTCGCGTCCCTCACTTGCATATTTTCCTTGCGTCTTAGTCCCTCCCACCAGGGAAGCATGGAGAGACGCAAGGGGTGCATCTCACTTCGGTTATTTTTTATTTCCTCGCTCCTCGGGCTCGGTATCCGCGGAAGTTGATTTGTCTGCGCCATCTTGAGTAGCGTCCCAGTGGCCTTATTTTTGCCGGAGGTTCGAGGATCGAGGAGTGATAATGGAGGAGCGATAATCGAGGAACTACCAGACCATCCTCAGGTGAAACCCTCAGATACTCTCCCCACCCCCTTACTGTGTATCGCTCACTGATTGGATGATGCAGTGCATGCACTGATCTGATGCTTCTTGACATGAGAGCAGTTTCCCAGCGGAGTGAAGAAAATACATGAACCTCACGGGAGTCACTCCTCAGCTTATACCGTGTTTTGTTTCAATTCATGTATCATTCAGTTACAAATATGTGATATATCTGAACAACAAAGTGGTCAAAAATCATTTTATGCATTTATTGGAAACATTTTCATGATCGCTTTTTTTCGTTTTACATTTTGTCATTTCCATTCAGTCAGTTATTAAGTGTTATTAAAATGTTAATTTTGGCCAACTCTGCATCTTTGTGCAGCGTATACTCAAACAGCGATAGGAAGAGCCCACTGCCTGACGTAGTGTTCACCTCTGAGAGGGAGTTGGTTGACACTTGAAAGCTAAAAGCTATAATATCAACGACAGCTGACACGTAATAACGGTTCCGTGCCAGCTGATCTGCACCAAAGTACTAATTTCCTATTTGTTTCCTAGCGTATCTGTCTCTCTCTCCACAAACTCTCACATGAAATGTGTTCTTTTGATGCGGCATGCCTTAGCAGTCCTTTATCAGTCTGTAATGCGTGTCTCCAGTTGCAAAAACCTTTGACAGTAAAAGCTGCATCAGATGAAGACGTATTTACTTTAAACTGTCTACAGGGGAAACCAAATGCTGCGTCTGCTTTTAACGAGTCTTCAAGCCATGGTCTGTTGTTGTACCATGCAGTGGCAAAAGTGCGCTTCTTTCCTGAAAACAATCTCCCTGGATAACGATTCAGTTTCACCTGGTTGGGTTTATTAACCCCAAGATCATCTGGGGCTGTTGGTCTTTGAGCGGTTGCTGGTCCAATAGTACCTGTTGATGTTCTGCAAGGTAGCGTCTGTAGTGGTATGGGCTCAGAACAGTCTCATAAGACACACATGCACACAGAAGGATTCACACTTGTATTTCATGATCCGCAAAAGGATTCACACTTGTATTTCCGGATCCACACTTGTGTTTTTAAATGCACACACAAATGTGTTCCGTTTCATATACATGTAAATAAAATCCAAATACAGAAAAAAAAGTTTTACATATGTAATTTTGATCCACACATATTTGTTTTCCGTTTAAATCCCCTGAACCTTCAAACACAAACCGCTTTTTGTGCACGGATCGCTGTGCATTCGTTTATGGGTTTTTTGAGACTCCCCTGACGCTCACCCGATTCGTACTTGTAATTTTTTCTATCTATAGCCAATCAGATGTCTCCTCAATTCTAAGCCAATCACATGAGCGCGCCCCCACGAGGGTAGATTTCTTGCGTTCATGACGTAGCGCTTCAAGTATGCATTTTGCGCTGTCCAATGTTTTTAATTTTTATAAATAATAAAAATCGTGTTTATTGGGGGAGGGCAGGAATGTCAAATGGGAGGGCCTGGCCCTCCCACGGCGCCGGGCATGGTATAAACTG